GGAAAGAGAGGAACAGGAGGAGGGGAGAAGGGGACAAGGGGAGGCGGGAGGAGAAGGGAAAAGGGAGGGGGAGGAGGAGGAGGGGAAGGAGAAGAAGGGAGGGAGAGAGAGAAAGAAAGAAAGAAGTGGGAAAGGGAGTGAAATAGCTGCAAGTGCAGAGCACCCAAGAACCAGTCCATGAAGTGAAGTGAGAGAAGGTGTCGCAGGTCCCAAGCAGCCAAGCCTTTCCTCTCCAAACATTACTGCCCCAGCCAAGGGCTTGTGAAGATGAACAAGACACACACTAGGTGCTCAATCAGTGCCAGGCGGAGGGATGAAAAATGTCCCAAGTGGAAATAGAGAAGGAAAGGAGCCAGCAGGCTGGGGGTGGGGGTCAGGAAGGGGATAGTCACACGAGAGAAAATGTGACTCATGTGAAGGAGCCGCATGAGTAAAGATAAGCACCAAGTGATTGATGTGGACACAGCCAGCATAATATTTTACCAACATTAAAGTGATGCATTTCAAGTTCCCTCTTCAATCATGCCCTGCTTGGTGCCCTCCTACCTCTGAGTCTCTCCAGTCTACTTGCTCAGGGTGGGAGAGACAGACAGATACAGGACCCAGGGTAGCAAGGGCTAGGCTGAGAGAGAGAGAGATTGACGGAAATGGCTCAGCTCCCTGAAGATAGGGATGAGCCCTGGGGCTCTGTGGTGTGTAGATGTAGGGAGGGAGGAGGGTACAGAATGGGATTTCCTGGCTCCAGGAGGTTGTGGGAACAACACAGGAGAGCAGGAAGGGTAAAGAGTGTGACTCTCAATGTGTGAGTGCGAAGGACCAAGGCTGGGCGCTGCTCCCCTCCCCACTTGAGTGACTGCAGGGGCAACCAGAGCATGGAGCACAGGAAACAGGGTCTGAGGCAAGCACTGAAGCCACACCCCTATCCAAGCATCAGACTCAGACACTTGTCTTTTTAGCTGACTTGACCATAGGACCAGTTAAAAAATACAAGCCAAGCTTGTTAATCTTTTACTTAACATATTACACACTACATGCAAATTACAACTGCCCTTTTCTTGCTTTCACTGATGAAAATTGGTCTATGATGTGCTCAAAGTTATTTTCCCCCCTCTGTTTCTTCTCTTTCTACATTCAACAGAGCGAGATCACACAGACTGCCATATCCCATGGAGGCTCCCAAATGCACCAAAATATTAACTTGCTGAATGGCAGCACAGCTGGTGATGGTGTTAACAGAAACAGCTCAGTGGCGCCCTCTTCAACAAGGCAGGTACTGCACCTGCTCTGGAGGCTTAGTGGTAAGGAAGTTGTGCTGCCAACCCAAATGTACAGAGATCGAATTCACCTGCTACTCCGCAATCCGCTGGTGCATGATTTACAGCCTCTGAAAACCCACTGGAAGGTCAGCTATGAGTGGGCTGTGCCTCAATGGCACCTAACAACAATAACTGGTGCCTTCAAGGATTTCAGATTATACCATCAGTTCAAGGCCCGAAGGAAGTGCCGCCAGAACTTGAGGGGTGCACGGTGTTAGTGGAGGTTAGAGGCTGAGCTGCCAGAAGCATTCCAATTCAGGTAGAGAGAGACAGTGGGACCAGGGCACCGGGGGTAGCCGCAGAGCTTCCCTCCATTCAAACACCAGCCTGAGAGGGGCAGGGACATGGAGAAGAAAACAGACACACCTTTTCCTCGGATGGAGCATTTACCTGGAGTGCTAATAACATTTTCAGTTTGGACTAATTGAATTGTATTTCCTTTCCAATAGCTCATGCATGGTACTTGGGAAGAATTTGGATAACTTACAAAAAGAACCCATACATTTCCCACGCACTTCCGAGTTGTGGGTGGACCACTAGGAAGAGAACGAATGGGAGGAGCTCCTGGTGGAGGTGGGGCTCCCCCTGGGTCCTTGCTCTCTACATTCAAATGTGGTTTCCCAACTCCCTGCACAAACAAGGAGGAAAGATTGAGAACAGATTCCTGCTACTCCTGACTCAGGACTGGTAGACTGGCGGGAGCATCTGGATTTTAACAAGTATTCTAGGGGAAGTGGAAGCATGCGTGGAAGGGGCTGGGCTCTTAGGGACCTAAAGAGGGGGCTAAGAGCACAACTTTCATTTTAGTGTAGGCTGTAAGTAGCAAATGTGGGACCCTCTTCAAGGGATCCCAAAGTCAAACTAAAACAAAATCCCCTCATTGCTTTAAGAATTGACCCATAGGTGACCCCCCAGGTTTTTGGAGGTACACAGGAGGAGGGTGCCCTCTTTTCCTCATGGAATGGCTAGTGGATTCAAACTGCAGAGGAGGCACTGCCTTGGGGTTAGCAGTGCATCTGCATATAGAGCCTAAAAGAAGGGTTGGGGTTTTTTGGGATGTGTGTGTATTAAATAATATAGGACAAATATTTTTTTTTTTTTAAATCTTGAAAACACACCAAAGGAAAAGAAAAATAAGGAGCCGGCCCACTGCTGTGTCCCTGATGGTGGGGCTCTCCTAGTGGGGGGCCGTGTCTGCTACAAGTCCATCCTTATTATTGGTATGTATGGAGAAGGGTACTCTCTACACAGGAAAAACTCCTGCAAAATTAGAATGCATGGATACTGACAGAACCATCATAATTCTGCTCCTGTCAGCTACACAAATATTAACCAAACAGCAAATATTTGGATCATTTAGAGTTTAATTAAATGAATGTTTTATTGGATTTAATTCATGTCAATATTCCCCAGCTCCTTTTAAAATTCTGAAGAGCTTTACCGTGACTGAGCCCTCTTCTCCCAGTTATTTACTGTACAGCAAGCCTTCCCTGGGCAGCCCACTGCCCTGCTAAGTGGAGAGAGGCCTGAGCGACCCTCAGGGGCAATTTCCCAGAAGATGGAAAAATGAGACTGTGGCATGGCTTGGGCTCAAGTGACTAGAGCAGGATACTGGCTCAACCCTGGACACTTGATTCCTAGGCCTGACTCTGCAGATGATATACTGAGGGCCCTTGGCAGGTCTATAACTATCTCTGGGCCTCAATTTCACCACGTGTAAAATGAGGGACGAGGCTCAGAGGACTCTGGGGGAACATCCTGCTTTTAGGCTGTGGTACTGAGTGAGTGATTCTAAGTGGACATCATGCAGACCACCATCCAGGTGCTGGTGACCTCCCATGTCACTTGCCTGCGGTTTTTCTTCATTCACATGTTTAGTTACAAGTGACTTACAAGTGCATCTTTAGTTACAAATGGTAGTGCCCACTGTTGCCAAGCCCCAGTGGAGGTTCTTGTAGCATCCTGCATCCCCTGTCCCTTCTTCGCCATCCTGGGCCTGCAGGGCTGGCTCAGGTCCTCAGCAG